TAAAACATTATGGAGCTCGCCTGAGTCTGAAAACAAGAGCACCCCGCTAAATAAATCTGTCCAGTTTCACAGCGTATGCATTAGAAACCACAGGATGTGCAAGACGAACCAGTGTTTGGGCCTGCTCCCTTTAGTGCCGGGAGTTTTGCCCAGGCCTCTCATCTGATGAGGACAGGCCTTCCTGGTGCATGATGGCATGTGACTTGAGTTGGGAGCTGTACTGACGAGCCTTTTCACACAGCCCTTCAGAAAACACTGCCAGAGGGTTTCCCTGCAGGAGCCATTGTTCAGCCACTGCTTTATGTGCAGAGGCAAAGGGATCCCAGACCGCCAGCAACATATTGTTTTCACACTGCAGAGTTTTCCTGTACCTTTCCAATTCAAACAAGGGAGCAGAAAGAAAGCACAAAGCAGCTCTGGGATTAGTTTTCACCGCGGCATTGTGCGAGCTGACAAGATCTCCGCCCTTCACAATGGAAGGAGGTGGCCGCTGCCTGACCTTCCATTCACACGGCGCAGACAATGGGACAGGTCTCCGCAGAAGCAGAGGCCCACAGTGGGTGTATCACCCTGCCTCTCACCTTCGCCCTGCGTTGGGCTGCACCTCTGCATGAAAACACGCGCTTGCTTGAAAGGTGCAGTGAAAATGTATATGGCCGTGCGGATTACCAGTTAGGGCACTGGAGGGGTTAATTCCATGCGGTGACACTGCTATTGTGAGCAAGGTGCTTTACACAGACTGCTTCAATAAAAAAGCAATGCGGCACAAATGTAAGGCCGAAAGAGTCAATCCAGATGAGTAACAATTATATTAGGTACAAGTAATGGGTTTATTCCATGCTGAACAGAGAAGAAAGAAAACAATGTGTCGGCCGTCGAGTTCTTCAGGTGTGAGGTGTGCGCCTTCCTCACACCTGAAGAAGGATCCGCGGCCGAAACGTTGCGTTTTCTTTCTTCTCTGTTCAGCATGGAATAAACCCATTACTTGTTCCTTTGCAGCCTACGCCTGCTGACGCAGCTACCCACCTGAACAGTTATATTAGTCTTAGCATACCGTTACATGCTACTATATTCACAATACACTTACAGTGCACAGGAACGAACAGCCCCCCATTTATGCTTTGCAAACCAGTGTAACTGTAACCGAGCCGATGTGTGGTGTGTAGAGTTCACAGCAGTTGAATGAAATGGTGGTGGGTGTGGAGGGGAGTCCCCATTACCCGCAAAGCGCTTTGAGTGGGGTAATTTATTATTATTGCTCAGGGGTTAAAATGTCCTGGTACTTAAAAGCATCTCTTTTTTAAATTCAAAGAGCTTAGTTCTCCTGACTGATTAACCTTCAGGGAACTGGCTGCTGTGTGGAAAGAAGGGGCAAAAGCATCACCTAGTGGGTTTTTTGGGAACTGCAAGAAATTGCTATTTGGCTTTCAAGAAAAGGGAAACATTCAGAATGGTTGCACTTAAACTAAAAGATTTTCTGTTT